CCGAGGGACAATTGGGATCATGTTGCAAGTCTTGAACCATTTTCTAAATATCAGCATCCTTACGGACAATCGGAACTGCTTTTTGGATAGCAGAAGAAAGCTGAAAGCTGAGATATGTGGAATTTATTGCTCAAAGTCAAATAACATAAAAAGGGAAAGTGCTGAAAAGACAGAAAAGATAAGAGAAGAGATGTAGTTAGCAAGTAATAATGAAAGTCTAATGTAAAGCTTATATGGCATAGCTGATGTAGTTAGCAAGGCAAATGAAAACCTAACAGAAAGCTTATATTGTTGAGTCATCTTTGACTGTTTCAAAGTAGTCGTTATGAGTAGTCTTGGAATAAGTAATCTGCTCCTAAGAAAAAGGAGGCATAGGAATAGGTGCTTAGTTGAGMTAGCTGGTATGTTGTTTTATTTTATTTTTCTCTTGTACAGCTCTATCTATAAATAGAGCAGGTTATCTTCTTGAATAAAGCATCGAATCAAGTTTGATCAAGTTAAATATTGTGTTAAAGTGTGAGTTTGAAGAACCAATTTAAACAATTGGTATCAGAGCCATCATCACAAGAGTCGTGTTTGTGAGAAAATTCTGCAAGAGAAGGATAGAGGTTGATGGGAGACAACGGTAATAGCGCTAAGGGTTTTGTGGTACCGGCTATACCAAAATTCGAAGGGCATTACGATCATTGGGCTAGACTAATGGAGAATTTCATTCGGTCTAAAGAATATTGGGATCTCACTGAGAAGGGAATCAGTAAACCTGCAGGAGCGACCCCAACGAATGCCGAACAGAAGGTGATAGACGATGAAACATTGAAGGACTTGAAGCTCAAGAATTTCTTATATCAATCTATTGATATGGATATTCTTGATACAATCCTCGACATCGACACTAGCAAGCAGATTTGGGACAGTATGAGGCAGAAATTCCAAGGCTCAACAAAGGTAAAGAGAGCTCAATTGCAAGCATTACGAAAGGAGTTTGAGATGTTGAACATGAAGGAAGGGGAGACTGTCAACGGCTATTTCGCTAGAACCCTTGCAATAGCCAAGAGGATGAAGACGTATGGAGAGACAGTTCTGGAGACTACGGTGACCGAAAAAATCTTAAGGTCTACGACCTTAAAGTTCAACTATGTAGTTTGTTCAATCGAAGAGTCCAATAATATGGATACTCTTACATTGGATGAACTACAAAGTAGCCTGTTAGTTCATGAACAACGCATGAAAGGGAGCATCGAAGAAGAGCAAGTTCTTAAGTTTCAAGTGATGAGAAGGAAAGAGAAGGCAGAGGACGAGGATCATACAGAGGTAGTTACAGAGGTAATCACAGAGGTGGCTATAGAGGTGGGCGTGGTCGTGGCAGAAACTACAGATCTACGATCGAATGTTACAAATGCCACAACCTGGGTCATTTTGCTTCCGAATGCCCTAGTTGGGAAAGAAGTGCTAACTACACTGAGTTAGATGAGAAGGAGGAGCTACTTCTCATGGCATTTGTTGAAAAGGAAGAGGCACAAAGGGAAGATGTATGGTTCTTAGACTCAGGTTGTTCGAACCATATGACAGGAGATAAAAAGTGGTTTGCAACCTTTGATGGTAAATTTTCGCACTCGGTCAAACTTGGGAATAGCAAAAGGATGCAGGTACGTGGAAAGGGCGCAAGGATTATTATAGAAGGAAGAACCCATGTGATAAGCGATATATACTATGTACCCGAATTGACTGCAAACCTTCTCATTTTAGGCCAATTTCAAGAGAGGAGGTTATCAATTCTGATCAAGGATGGGTCATGTAAGATATTTCATGATGAATGGGGATTGATTATGAGTACGTATATGACTTCAAACAGACTGTTTGTTTTATTAGCTGAGGTACCTACTTCATCGTGCCTACAAACGACAAGTTTGATGCAAGGAACTTCAAGGCTTTGGCATCTAAAGTACGGTTACTTGAACCAAGAAAGTTTATATTGCTTATCCAAGAAGCAGCTGGTGAACGGGCTGCCTCCAATAAGAAAAAAAGAGAAGTATGTGAAGCCTGCGCTAAAGGAAAACAACATCGAGTTTCAATTCCGAAGGTTGCCAATTGGAGAGCAACTAGACCTCTTCAACTAGTCCACACCGACTTATGTGGTCCGATCACACCTAAATCAGTAGGAGAGAAAAGGTATGTTCTAACGTTTATTGATGATTTCAGCAGGAAAACGTGGGTCTATTTCTTGTCTGAGAAAAGCGAAACGTTTGCTCACTTGAAAAAATTTAAGGCTATGGTTGAGAATGAAGTCAAGGGAAAACTAAGTTGCTTAAGGAGTGATCGAGGAGGAGAATGTAACACGAAGAAATTTGCTGAATTTTGCGCCCTCAATGGTGTCAAAAGACAGTTGACAGCGGCGTATACACCGCAACAAAATGGTGTCGCGGAAAGGAAAAATCGGACTATTATGGAGATGGTTCGATGTCTGCTAAGTGAGAAAAACATGCCAAAGATTTTTTGGGGTGAAGCAGCTAAGTGGGATGTACACATCCTAAATAGAAGCCCCACTTCAGCGGTAAAAGACCAAATACCACAAGAATGTTGGAGTAACAACAAGCCCAACGTTGACTACTTCAAAAATTTTGGGTGTATTGGCCATGGTCATATTCCCAACCAGGTGAGAATAAAGTTGGATGAAAAGAGCCACAAGTGCATATTTTTGGGCATTAGTGAAGAGTCCAAAGCCAATAAAATGTACGACCCAGTCTCTCGAAAAGTTGTGATTAGCAGAGACGTGATCTTTGACGAGCAACAAGGCTGGAATTGGGGAAGGACTTCAAACGAAGAAAAGGATGATGTCTTGGTAATAGTTGAAGAAGAGGAAGAAGCTAGCAAGGTAATTGAAAGTAATAGTTCTAGTCCTGTACATCAGCAAGTCCCCTCAAACAATGCAACAAATGAAGATGTTGAAAGCCCTGGTTAAACTTCTTCCGTAAAAGTTCATGCTGAAACGTCTCAAACTCAGGAAGAAGTTTCACCAGGAAAAAGGAGACATAGATAAATGTTTCAAACGTCTCATGTCTTGTTATGAGTAGTCTTGGAATAAGTAATCTGCTCCTAAGAAAAAGGAGGCATAGGAATAGGTGCTTAGTTGAGATAGCTGGTATGTTGTTTTATTTTATTTTTCTCTTGTACAGCTCTATCTATAAATAGAGCAGGTTATCTTCTTGAATAAAGCATCGAATCAAGTTTGATCAAGTTAAATATTGTGTTAAAGTGTAAGTTTGAAGAACCAATTTAAACATATATGTCACAGTTGAGGCAAGTAGCAATGAAAAATGGAAGTCTAATAGAAGGCTTATATGTCATAGCTGCAGGTCCGGCAGTGCATCAGTAGTAAAATAGCAATGAATCAGTAGTAAGTCAACAATGATCAGACCTGTGCACTTCAAATCCAAGGAGGAATAAAAATCCCCTTGTGGCCACAGAGGTTCAAATGCGGTGACTTTGGGCTATATGCAAAGCAGGTGATCGCCCTGGGATTAGTCGGCTCGCATAGCGGGTTGAATATCCAGGTTAATAAAAAAAATTCCTTTTGGTCTAACAGAAATGACAAACCAAGCTAATATAGAGAAAAGGTGATCAAAAGGGAGGCATTTCAGCAGGTGCAACCATAGTAAGAGGTGTGTAGGATTATATAAAGAGGTGGCCAGCTCCCTCCCTCTCATTTTGATGAAATACCACTTAGTATAAATTCAAGCGACTCTTGCCCTTGGGTTCTCATCTGGAATTTAAGAGAGCAATCAGAAGGAAGATAGAGCTCAGATACTGCAATGAGTTTAGCGTTCTTTGTCTTCCAAGCTCCTAATCACTTCACTTAACTCACCTCATCTACCATGAGTTTTATACTTAAAACAAGTCCAATAAACACTTGATTTTATATGCACCCGGCTCAGGATGAACAGATTGGTTTTTAGAACATGAGTAGATAGCTTAAATAAATGATTTTGTAGAACTCTAGCTATTTACACTCTAAAACAATTACAAAACCAAATCACGATCTAAGGAAAGAAGTTGGGTTAAAAAGCTTTTATCTCACCAGACTCATATATGCTTACGTATGACAATAGGGCCATGCATCCATACTTAAACCCGCTTGTCGTGTTTGAACTATGGCAAGTTTCTATTCACTTGAACTTTGAGCCTATTGTTTCTTTCATATAGCTGAACCATTTGAATAAAAGCCATTTCATTCTTGATTATTCTTCAATTCTTGAACAAAAATCATTGTGAACCACTAGTGCTCATGATAATATTGAGCTACGAATTCCTTGTGAATAATAAATATTTGTTATGGTTACCTATCTTTGATTCATGCATGAAGGAAAAAAATGAGGAAGTATGTGATCGGTTGACCCAGGCACCAATAGAGAACTGTTGGCCTACTATGAGACATAATGCGCCTATATAAACATAGTGTTGAACCTTTGAGAGGGCAAACTAACACAACACTCCTACATGGTAGGGTGAGGCCTTCTGAGACGGGATCAATTGGTCTGTCTAAGTGATTATGCGCAGGTAAAAAGCAGATATCATGGAGTTAAAAGAACTACGCCACCAAGTGGAAGATTGCTAGGTTTTTGCAATTTCATTGCAACAGAATGAGCATCTCCTGGAGAAGTTCTAGGAACGTAATCGCCAATCATCAACCATGACCCAGTCATTGTACAAACAAATGAAGATTTATAAAAATCACAGGAGTAAAATCATTTGGTTAAAAAATTAATTTGATTCGAAAATTAAAAGCTAATTCCTTTGTGTCCGTTTTCTTTGCCCTTAATCGCAACAAATAAAATTGAAACAAGATCGTAAAATTTCACTATATAAACATATCAGGAAGATGCATGAGCCACATTTCTAAGCATAACACCGATTACTTAACGAAGCATTGTAGAAATTATAGAGAAGTATTTTGATCACAAAACATATTAAGCTGCTTTTAAAGGAATTGATGAGAAAATCACCGACAATCATTCCGATAGTAACAAGTGTAAGTAATCCGATAACGATTCTCATCGCGGAAGCCATGGCGGATCCGAAGGACTTGCCGGTCCGACGGGGTTTTGGTGTTGAAGTCCAGCACTCTTTCCTCTGGCTCTCCTTTACTTATTGAAGTCGACCACTGATTACCATTTCAAAACGCATTGTTTAGACACACAGTCTTCTATTTTCTCGCCCATGGTTTTTCACAAAATGTACCACTATGAGTTTGATACTCAAGATACAAAAAAGGTTTTCTTTCGGTTTAACAAATATACACAGAGAGGGTGAGAAAGTGGGAAAGGTTGATTTTGATAAATGGTAAATATTTGAAAAGTAAAGAAGTGATTATTTCATATGATTAATATTTATGGTTTTGACCGTGAAACATTGAATAAATCCTCTTATCGGTATGCAGAAGATAGAAGAGTAGTTTTGTAACATATAGTTCGGTATGAATCACTTTGATTATCTTGTGTCTAGCCTAATTTTTTGCTAGTTTCCTTCTTTTTGTCGTGCATAGTTTTGTATTTAAGCATTGCTTTCCTTTGTAATGTTCATTAGAAAATATATACAACCTCTTTGAGCCATTAAATTTAAATTGGTATCAGAGCCAGGTTTGACCCAGAAACACCAAACCTAAACTACCGCCACCCTTGTCCATGGCTGGCGACAAAGAAGACCCCAATCTTGGCTCGAAACATGAAACCGGTCCTAATACAAACTCACCCCTCTACATACATGCTTTGGATTACTGTTACGAGAATTATATAAAATAAATCTCTCGGACTGTTAGCAAATGGAGACTAGTGCAAGTATACACTTATCAATCCACTATCGTCTTTTACAAGTAATAAAGTGGTAAAAATACCGAATATCGTCCACGGAGAAAAGAAATAAAAGTTTGTTTTAATAGTCTAAATAAAGATATGATTTCAGATGGTGAATTCGAAGAAATATTTGTGGTGAGTTGGTTTAACACTACTGTTGAGAACAAATAATAAAAGAGAGCTTAGGGTATAGGGATTTTTTTAAATATTAAACCGATTTTTTAAGTAGACATCATGCTACAACATGGTTCTATAGCATGCTTTATAAATAACTTATCTTTACAACTAATAGCTTTTTTAAGGTACTCTCGAGAGATGTAGAATGGCATACAGTCTTAGATCAAGCCTTCATATCTCTATGCAAGGCTGGAGTCTCGACACTGGCTCAAACTATTCCTTTTATAAGCTAAATGGAGCGAAAACGAGTCTTCTCGATTCTAAGTAACTCTCTCGAGCCTACTTCCATATCATTCAAGTTGACGTATGCTTGTTGGTTTATCTCTAAATCCAACACACTTTAACACTTTTAAACAAGTGATCAACTTGTTCATGGATGATGTTTTTGCAATAAAAACTTGAATGACGTAGTTGTAAAGATTTATAATTTATATTTCTACAAACGGAATCGGTTTTTCTCTTAACATCACCCAACACCCAAGCTATATTTTTAGCCTAACATACTTGAAAATTTAATTGCATAAATAATAAAGCATAAGAAAGAAAAAGAAAGTAGAAAAAATAAATGCTAAGAGGAATTATAAAATAGACTTAAAATACTTGAAATAAAATTAATTGTATAAATAATAAAACATAATAAATAGAGCACAAGAGAAGAAAAGAAAGTAGAAGAAATAAATGTAAAGAGGAATTATAAAGGAGACCTAAATGTAAAGAGAAAATAAAATACTTCCAAACACTACTTTATACTCAAGAGAACAACATACATCCAAAGTTGCTTGCAAAATTACTTCTAAGAGTTTCTTACTAAATTGCTTCTCTCCAAATTACTTGCGTCTAAAATGCCAAGCCTCCCCCTTTATATAGTAGGAGAATGGAGGACAAGGACCAAAAGATAAAGGTTACATTGTCCAATGGGTAAAGCCATGCTACCCAAAAATTAATCAAAAATCAAATCTTAAATATGTACCATTAGATCTTAAAAGTTGCAGAAGATGGGCTGCCAAAAAGGATTATTGCACATCAAAAGATTTCTCGTACTATTCTCAAAAGTACCCCTGGAATCATACTGCAGCACACGCTGTAGCATGCTTCAGCCAAACACCTATTAACATGACTTTTTTTTTTTAAAATCAGCTCATATCCAAGAAGTAAACATGTTTATCATATCAATTTAGCTCCAATATAAAAAAAGATAGAAAAATAAAACAAAAAAACTCAATTTGCGGAATTTTGGGAAAATAAAATAGATAAATAAAGTAAGAAAAAGTGTAAAAGTATCAAATAAGTTGATACTTATCAATTACCCGAAACAAATGAATGTCAACAACGTTCTCACCAACAACAACTATGTCTATTGGTTATAGGAGATGATGAACTTTCTGTTTGCCAAAAACAAAGTCGGCTTCGTCGATGGGTCTATAAAGAAACCGGAGAAGACTGATGTGGATTATATGATGTGGATATGTTGGGACGCCATGTTGAAAGGATGGCTCACAACGGCCATGAAAAAGGATATCTGAAACAGTGTGAAATACGCGAGTACTGCCAGTAAGATCTGGAGCGACCTACTGGAACGTTTTGGGAAGGAAAGTGCCCCTAGGGCATATGAATTAAAACAAATTCTCACCGAAACACAACAAGAAGAAGCCTGAGTTTCTGCCTATTACACGAAGTTGCGCGGGCTTTGGGATGAGATGCAGGTTGTTCTTTTAATTCCATGTTGTACATGCAATGGTTGTACATGTGATGTTGGGAAGAAGATGGTGGAACTCAGGGAAAAAGAAAGGTTTTACGAGTTTCTTATGGGACTCGATAATAGATTTTCTGTCATTAGAACACAGATTCTCGCTATGAGTCCAGTCCCAAGTTTGGGAAACGCTTACCACCTTGTTGCGGAAGATGAACGACAAAGAATTATATCCGGCGACAAGAAACCTGCGACTGAATCTGCCGCTTTTAAAACCTTCACACACGGCCGAAGAGAAAGCAATTCCAGCCAGCAACGTGACAGACCTGCCATAAAAGAGCAAACGCAGTGAGGTAGTGGAACACTGCACTTTCTGTGCAAAGACGGCCATAACGGGGAGGGTTGTTTCAAGCGGGTCAGATAACCCGACTGGTGGCCGGGGAACAAGAAGCGAGACGAAAGCAAACCAAAGGCTGCCTGTATCGAAATTAGTACAAGTCCCGTTCTAGGTTTGACTAATGAGCAGTATGAAACCTTTTTGAAACACTTTGTAGGAAGTGGGAAAAGAACAAAGGATGATCTGGCTCCGACGACTTTCATGGCAGGTAAAACCAATTTTGGGGACGATTGGGTAATTGATTCGGGATCAACCGAACACATTACGCACAACGTTGAGATTCTTAAGAACATGGTCTAAACTCGCAAGGAGAACCCCGTCGTTATTCCTAACGGAGATTCTATACCCGTTGAAGGAAGAGGTGAATGCACCTTAACGGGGGGTGCAAAAATAAATGGGGTTCTTCATATTCCCAAGTTCACTTGCAATCTTTATATTAGTTAGTCGATTGAGTAAAGACCTTCAATCGACAATAACGTTTTTTCCTGATTTTTGTGTAATGCAGAAACTTCACACGAGGAGCTTGATTGGTGCAGGTAAGTGCAGAAGAGGTCTTTACTGTATTGGGATGTTTGGAACCGAGAAGAAGGCTCTAATGGCAACCACGGATGTCTGACACAAAAGGCTTGGTCACGCTTCCGGTGATAAACTTACTCAGATTGATTTCCTTGGGAATGTTTCCTTCAATAAGTTGTGTGATTCTTGTTCTAGAGCTAAGCACACTAGACTACCTTTTCAAAACAGTGAAATTAAAACCAATGGTTGCTTTGAGTTATTGCATTGTGATGTTTGGGGAAAGTACCATTCTTCCTTGCTTTCGAGAGCAAACTATTCTTTAACCATTGTCGATGATTTTAGTAGGGGTGTATGGGTCTTCCTTTTAAAACACAAACACGAAGCAGGCAAGTGTCTCATTGACTTCTATAAGTTGATAAAAACCCAATTTGGCAAATCGATTAAGAGAATTAGAAGTGATAATGGGGGGGAATTCACGTCCAATGAGATGATTAACTTTTATGATGAGGAAGGAATTTTATTGGAGACAACGTGTCCTCACACCCCGCAAACAAAATGGGGTGGTGGAACCAAAGCATAGGCACCTTCTCGAAACTGCACGTGCTCTTAGATTTGAAGCCAATCTTTCCAAAAGATTTTGAGGTGAATGTGTTCTAACCACTGCCTATATCATCACTTGGTTGCCATCTAAAGTGATAGAAAATATAACCTCCTATGAAATCAATTTTCAACAAAAACCGGACTACGAACACATGAAAGTTCTTGGGTGTTTGGCTTACTTTAAAAGTAATGAGACCAAAGGGGACAAGTTTGAAGCAAGGGGGAGGCCCGGGGTGTTTTTGGGTTACCCACATGGGACCAAAGGTTATAAGATATTTGACATCGAAAACAAGAAGATGATTGTTTCACGGGATGTGAGGTTCCATGAGAACCAGTTTCCGTTTTACATGCAAGACGATGAACGTGAAAATGATGACCCACTGAAAGTTGATGATGGATATATAATAGGTCGGTCCATTATGACATCGAACAGGACGTGTGGAGCAATGAAGGTGGACAATCCACTAATGTCCAAGGCTCAGGTGAACCCGATGCCTTGACCCAAGACCTTGATGAAGGGATCCCAGATTCAGAAACTGATGGGCTACACGATGATCCAGAAATCATCAATGATAACCAACAAACTCACCATGAACTGCAAAGTACTACTACTGAACCTACTGCCACTATTCCAACCCGTGAGAAAAGAAATAGAAGTCAACCGAAGCACTTTGCTGATTATCACATCCAACTTGCCCCATCGATTGACCATGCACAAGCTTTACCAAATCAAGCGTCCTCAACGGTATACCCTCTATATAACTTTGTTTCATACAAAATTTTTTCTAATACTCACAAGGCTTTCCTGGCGGCCATCGATTCTAACGATGAACCCAAACACTTTCATCAAGCCGTTAAAAATGACAGGTGGAAAGAAGCTATGAGAAAAGAAATTCAAACTCTAGAAAAGAATGGGACGTGGACAATGGAAGACATTTCTGAAGGAAAACATGCCATTGATTCAAAATGGGTCTACAAAGTGAAATACAAACCC